GGAGCGCAGGGAGCAGCGCCTGGAGGACCGTGTGCCCGAGCTGGAGCAGCTGGAGCGCGTGGGGCTCTTCACGCGCAGGGAGATCAGGTGCGGCCGGGGCCGGGGTCGGGCTGCCCCGCACCGCGCCCGGCTCCGCTGAGCTCCGCGCTCGTGTTCCCCGCAGGGCCGTGCTGAGGAAGGCCTCGGCGCTCGAGTACAAAATCCAGCGGCGAGCGCTGCGCAAGGAGGATTTCGTTACCTACATCCAGGTGCGCCGCTTCCCCTCGAGGTGACTTGTGCGTTTGGCAGCTCAAAATCAGGCGGGACCTTCTGTCTGGTGCCTCCCTGCCCGCCTCGTCCCTCACCAGGGGTGCGGGACCCCCATCGCACAGCACTGCTCATTGCTTCTTCATTTGATTTTACTTCTTTTTCTCCTCTAGTATGAAGTGAATCTGCTGGAACTAATAAAGAAGAGAAGAGCAGTAAGTTTCTTGAGCTTCTTAGCACGCAAAATACCACATATCCAACTTCCTAGTGCTATGTAATTAATATATATATATTTTCTCTTAGCGTATTGGCTATTCATTTAAGAAGGATGAAATCGAGAACTCCATTGTGCGTAGAGTCCACAGCCTCTTCAAACGTGCCACAGGGAAGTGGAAAGTAAGGCTATTGCTTTCATTTGGACTGGTGTGATTTAAAAAGATATTATTGCCAAAGGTATTTGCAGTGACATAGAACAATGTGATTGAAAAGCTAAATAGAAGTAAGGACATATGGTTAGTAGTAGCCTAAAAGTAGATCATTCATGTTGGGTAAATGATATATATAAATGATAAATGGATAATTTTTTTTTCTGAGTCTTTCCTTCTTGCCTGTCTTGAGCCTTATACTTCCATGTGAGTTTGGTGTGCCTGCTTCCAGAAACAAGAAACTTAAAATGTAAAGAACCTTAACCTGTCTTGAGAAAAGATTGTCTCAAGGCATCCAACAGGGGGGCCTAAATGGGTGCCTAAGGAATCATCCCAAATAGCTCTGTTTTGAGTTCTGTAAAATGCAGATTTGCTTGCAGAAACTGTGGGAATGCATCTTGAGATGGAGGACTAGCTTGCTTTAGATGTTTTGCAGGAATTGAAAGATCTGAAAAAGAATTTGAGATTCAAACTTACTTGTTTTTGCATTTTTATGGTCATAACAAGTGTACATTTTTTGTTTGTCAGTGTGCAAAATTGATTCTGTGCTTGCCTTATTATAAGGTTAATTCTGTTCCCCTTGGCATTTCCCACAGGAAGATGTCCAGCTGTGGTTGTCGCATGTTGCATTTTGCAAGCAATGGGTGAGTCTTCAGAATATGAACCTTCCTTTGAGATGATCCTCAAAGGGTGATCGGTCCGGTGCCTGAAGCTAGTGTTGCAGGACGGAAGAACACATCTTACTATATCATAATGCAATATTGGAATAGTTTTGTCAGAGCTGTCTGAGTTTTCCAGTCATATAAATAAGTGCAGAATTCAACTTGGAACAAGTTAGTGTGAAAATTGATGCTTGCAGATCACAAAGATGAGGCTGATTGTCTGGAATCTGAGTATCATTTGGTTTGCAAGATGCATGCCATTGGTTATCACTTCCCTGGAATCTGCCTGTGACTTGTGATTTTGTTCCAAATATTTCTTAGAGTGGTTACGCTGAAAGGTATAATGCTGGCAATTTTGTACTTGGTAAACTTTTCTGTGCCAGTCTTTGCATTGTTCCTACCCTTCAGACGTTGATCTCTCTCTCCTAAAGAAGGTGGTCTGGTCAGAGTAAAGAATGTGCTGCCAAAACAGAATCTTTGCCTCAGAGTGGTCAGTGAGGTTAGGGGTTTGTGACTCATGCAAGGTTTCTGTTAGCCTTCCAGAGAGATTTAAGGTAGCTATCCCAATGCAGTCTGAAACATCTGAAAGCTGGTCAATATGAAACAAATATGAGAGGCCTTCAAGGAGGAGAGAAGTCTCTCTTTTTTTTTTTTTCTTTTTTTTTCCTCCCCCGTTACAATGGTATTGGAGCTTGTAATCTTCCATAATGAAACTTTGGTGGTTCAGTTCAGTACTAGAATAGATAAAACCAAACATTTTTTTTTCCTTTTACAGAATTCAAAGCATCAGCTTAGTAAGGTGTTTTCTTGCATGTTAGCCATTCACCCCAATAAGCCAGGTAAGTAAAACTGTGGTGAGTCCTGAAAGAAAGTCTCAAACTTGAATAATGTTTGAATGTTTAAGTAATGTTGTTTTTTGATTCCGGTTGTGGGGGTAAAAATACCTGCTTTCCTCTTATGGTTCAACTTGCTACTTATTCATATTTTCTGTTGCAGCACTGTGGATTATGGCAGCAAAATGGGAAATGGAGTCACGTCTCTCGTCAGAAAGTGCCAGGCACCTGTTTCTTCGTGCTTTGCGCTTCCATCCAGAGTGTTCGAAACTTTACCAAGAAGTGAGTTGCTGTTCTTCCATGTGCAGTTATTTTCAGTCAGTTCAAATCACTCCAGCAAATCTCACATCAATCTGTCAAAAACTGTTTTTTCATCAATGTGAAAATGTCAAAAAGACTTTTCCTCGAGTTTTTGTGTTTGTGTTGGTAGCTCTTAACAACGCTTTAGTGAATCCTGTATGTATAAAAATTGAGGGTTTTATGCCATCTGTGAATGAATGTGTCAGAATTCTCCAAAGTACTATGAACTCTGCAATTTCTCTGGATTAGACTACACATCTTTAGTCTTTGCTAGGAAGCATGGTTTTTCTTAACAGTAAATTAAGACTTAAAGAATGTGTGAAATATGGAAATTTCTAAATGTGGAAAGTTTCTGGGAAATACATAGAGTAGTTAGGTATACGCATAATTCATTAAAAAACAAGGCTGTTGAGCATACATGGGATATTAGGTTTGTAGCGCTTGCTGGTGGATTTAGGTGTTCTGTGCTTTATTCCCCTGTGTTTTCATGTTGTTTTGTCTTTTGCAGTATTTCAGAATGGAGCTGATGCATGCTGAAAAACAGAGGAAAGAAAAGAAAGAATTTGAACAAGCCAAGATGGATTTGGTAGGTCACTTAAGCTTCCTCAGAGCTACTCTCTGCTTGCATATCATGTGTCTGAATGCATAGGTTCAAGGGATCTGTATTAATGGTTGATTTGAGAGCAGTTTAGGTGGGACAGTAGTTAAACTGATTATTTTTTTTCATTCTCCTCAACTTGTGCAAACTAGCTAATGTTTTTCTTCATCAGAATCTATCCTTAATATCTCTTTCTTCTGTTATTTTTTTCCATGCTTGCAAAAATAAGGAAGGAAGATAATTCTAAAAATGCTGTGTTTGATATCACAGGGAGAATTCAATTATTCTGAAGAGATTCTTAATGGGGAAATGGCTCGCATCATTTACAGGGACGCCGCTCAGAAAATCAAAGGTAGTGTAACATTTCTTGTTCTTGTTTGGTAGGAAAATGCTTGTCTTTAACTCAGATCTCCAGTATCTGAGTAGTCCTAATCCGGTGTAAACAAAGGGTGCAGTGGGATGTAATGTTTTAATTCCAGTTGATAACTGTTTTTTTTTCTATTGACATCTAGGTGTTGAATTTCATCTGGCTTTGCTTTCTATTGCAAAGCTCTTTGATTTTACGCAAGATTTGCAAAAAGAAATTCTTGAAAGGTGAGGAATTTTTTAATAAAAACGCTCCACTGCCCTAATTTATAGTGATTGACGGGTTAATGACTAAGTCTGATTCCTCTAGGCAAATGGAAAGTTAAGTCATATCAGTGCAATATTTTGTATTTTTTTCTTGGAAAAGTATTGCTTATGTGACGTTTGACTATTTAGAAATTGAGTGCAAAAGTCAACGACAGTTGAGTGGTGTTGCAGCCGTGGTATATTAGTTTGCAGGCCAGCTATGCTGATGACCCTCTTACATGGAACTACATGGCTCGTCGTGAGCTGGAGCTGGGGTCTCTGCAGCCTGCAGAACATACTACAAAACAGATGAAAGTAGCTGAAATGACCCAGAGAGAGGAGCGGTGCTGTGCAGTGTTTGAGGAGGCTGTGACAGCAGTCCCCACAGGTGAGATGTTCTACTTGCATGTTAACATTTTTGTTTCCTGGTATTTTTGCTTACAGCATACTGTAAACATTTTGAAGCAGGTGTTGGCAAGCTTACCATTGTAATTCTGTAATGTTTGATACTATGCATTTGATCCTGCAGAGGACATGTGGAAATGCTATATCACTTTTTGCCTGGAGAGATACAACAGGAAAACCAACAGTGAAGAATTAAAGCAAAAGGTAAATAAATACTCATAGTAACAAAGCACCTCTATTTTTACTGACTTCTGTAATCTTTCAGTCAAAAAGCAAGTATACTTTGAAGTGCTTCATCTGAAGTATTGACCTGGGATTGTCATTAAAGATCACGTAGCCTCCATCTGAGGGAATCAGCTTTGCTGTTGGTTTTACTGTGGCCTTGCCCAAATGTGAATAACTTGGGCATTTACTTGTCAGCAAAGTACTGTGACCACCTCAGATGGATGTTTCTATGAGGCCAAACTTGTTAACATTCACTGATAGTGCTGCAAACTTGGGCTTGTTCAAAAGGAGGGAAGAGTTAAAACATCTCGTGTAAATAAGAGCAGAGTTTGGTGCTGGCATGTGGGCACCTTTCTTGCACCTCTATTCTTGTGTGTGACCGACAGGAATAACTAATCTTGACTCCTGTGCAATTTTGTCCCCTTTACCACAATCAGAGAACATCACTGTGTGGGTTGTGTGGGGTGTTTTTTGTGTGTTGAAATCTTGCCCTTATCTTGAAATGTATGCAGGTACCTCAAGCATTAGATTTGTAACTTTAATTTCAGGGAGTTTGGACAAAAAAGCCCAGTAGATATTTTGTCATGCTGGGGATCTGGTGTTTGCAGCGATAAATATTTGTTTTCTTTCCTTTTTGTTGGCTTTTGGCTCTAGAGGCTGGAGAGGACATTGAGTGCGTTCAACAAGGCCCACGAATCCAGTTTGTTGCCAGAAGGCCACTATAAGCAGTGGGTAAGAGTTGACGTAGAAGAATAGCCTGGGAGACTGCCCTGCATTGCTTGCATGCGTAACTTTACCATTCTGAGTAGGTGGCAAGCTGGGCAATATAGTACTCGGGGCTTGGTTTTCTACCAAAATACTACAGAACTCTTGTGACTACCTTTATCTGCTGGTTTTTAGCTTCAGCTGCTGCTGGAGTCTGGCCTCTGTGAAAAGGCTATGGAGGTGGCAGAAGCTGCAACTCAGCGTTTCAGACTGTCAGTGGAAATCTGGCAGATGAGGCTGCAGGTGCTGATCCAGCTGAAGAGCGATGATGTGACCCAGTGTTTTGAAGAAGCCCTTAAACACATGAAATCTAAGGTCTGTACTGTTTTATGGACTTGCATACTGTTGTCCTGGACAGGAAACCTCTGATATTTATTTGAAGGGCTTTTCTTTTTGCAAAGCACTCAGTCCAAAGTCATTTTTAAGGTCAGAAATAATAACTTGACATTTCACGTGCACATTGTGTGCAGGAACATCAGGGAACTGCAAATAAACTTCAGATTCAAAGTTTGACGGTCTGAATGACAGGTGATATTTTGCATGCTCCCTCTAGCAGTCAGCTGGCATTTTTCACGTCTGACTAGAAAAACATGCTTCCTTTCCTGCCCCGTGTTGATGTATTGTTTGCATGCGTGGTATTTCAAGCCTTGGATTAGCTATGTGCCCTCTGGCTGCTCTGTTTCAAACCCTGGGTAAAGAGAGTGCGGAGAGGAAACCCTCAGCCGATTGTTTCTTTCCTCCCCTTTGTTCTTGGGAGCTACTTTAGGGCTATGGTGGTCAGTGATGCAAAAGAACGTGCAAGGCAACGCTCAGCAGTTGTGCAGCTGAATATCTCCCTGTGAGCGAGGAGGGAGACTACAATTGATTTCCCTGTGTGATGCAGAGGCAGCTCTTTAATAGTCCCGTCTAATGGGCAGTTTGAGAGCAGCCGTGATGTGCGACCTGACAGATGGGGTGGTGGTTGTTTCTGTAGATCAGTCTGCCTCTCACCTGTGCTTCAATGATACCATCCCCTGGCTGCTTCCCTTGCAGGGCACCCTGCCGCTGTGGACCCTCTGGGTGGAATGGAGTGAAGGCACAAACACCAAGCAAGACACAGAAGCCCTGTACCAGGTGGTTGACCAATATAAACTTACTTTTTCTCATGGCATGAAAATAAACAGACAGCATGTGAGGAGTGTGTTTCTCTTGCAGGGGAGAAGCTTATAAAAACATATAAAAGGCATTTTCCGACCTCTGTATGAAAATACAGGTCATGACACTATTTTTCTGGCCCATTTTTTTACAGCATAAAACAGTTATTTACAGTGGAAGCTTAAATTCAAATGTTGGTAGAACATTGTGAAACCCCAGCTGTCTGAAATATTGGAAGAAAAATGTATGTTAGGCTATACTACAATCTGCAAAATATTGGATGTGTTACTAATGCTGCTTTTCAGACATCTTTCAGGATGTTTTTGTCTGATAGCTTGCCTCACTTACGAGACCCACTTACTGTCAAATGTCTAGTTAGAGAGAAGGTACTGCTTGATTTCTCCCATGTTGCCTTTTAATTGTAATTTACGTGTTTTTTAATTCACAGAGATCCTTGTGTGCCACAGCTCCTACTGAGTCTGTGACTATGAAAGAAAAGTATCTTGACTGGGCCTACAGGAAAGGTGGTTATAAGAAAGTAAAAAGAGTCTTTACCAGGTGAGAAATAAAAAACCTGATTTTTCTAAGGCGTAAGTTTGTAAGGTTAAAGGTCTGAAGTTATTTGTTTTCACTCCAGCTTGCATGAAAATCGTCCATTTTCACTTGACTTCTTCAGGAAGATGATACAAATAGAAAAGGAGCAAGTAAGTTGTTAAATATCTGATTAGAGCCTTAATTTAGTTAACTACACTTTCTAACTTTGGATTTGAATAGAAAATGGTGGTCTTACAAGTAGCATAACTGGTTTGTAATCAGTTCATATTTGTATTCTGAAGTTGCATTACAAAACCAAGTTCCATGGTAACCAATCTTTGAACTTCATGGTAAAATGTGTGTAGGTACATGTGTAATTATCATGACAGGTTTTTTTCTTCGTCAGAAATTAAATTATTAAATTGCAATATCAACTTCTGTACAATGTAAATGGCCCTTTAATACCTTCCTTTGATAGGAATCCTGCAAAATGCTTAACTTGAGAGAATACTATGAACGTGCCTTGCGAGAGTTTGGTTCCACAAATTCGGGTAAGGGTGTTTTTTGTTTGTGTGGTTCTTTTTTCTTTTTTCTTTTTTTTTTTTTAATTCAGTGCTGTCCCTTTTACTTCCATGCATTTGAAAAAAAAAATGATTGCTATCATGTAGAATGCAGCTTATTTCTTCTGTTCCATTAAGTGCATAATGTTTTGCAGTGACCTGAACTTTCAGTCCAGGATCTTTGGTCACAGTAGGATGGTTTTAAGCAGAACAGCTAGCAAATAATTTTTTTTGACGTGGTCTAGCATAAGAGATGCACATAACCTTTAATCTGGATTTGTAAACATTATGGAACTAGGTTTTCAAGATATATTATTTCTTAAAACATCACTGTCGCACTGATTTGGGAATAGCTTTTGGACCTCAAGGCGGGGGGGGCAGTCCTCAAGTAAACCTCATTGCATTTAATATAGAAAACAGTTTTTGAGGAGAATTTCTGAGTTAGTATTGTATGTTTATTATGTAATACCCATTCAAAATCTAGCTGAAACTTCTGTTTTCTTTTAAAGATCTCTGGCTGGATTATATTAAAGAGGAGCTAAACCATCCCCAAGGCAAACCAGAGAACTGTGGCAGCATTCACTGGCGAGCTATGAAGATGTTACAGGGAGACCTGGTGGAAAACTTTGTTTCCAAATACACCTTATTGCAAACTGGACACTTATGAAAAACTGTAGCTACTCAGCATAATAGTGAATTTTTTCTAATATCTTTGTATAAGGGTAAATATTTTCCTGGATCATATTAAAATACACTTTTTTTCCCACACACGCAAGAATCTAGTCTGCTGTATTGCAGTTGTTAGTGGTGATGCCTCTGTCTGGGCAGGTTCAATTGCACAGTTAAAGGAGAAAGCAAAGGCAGCTCTGAGAACTGAGTGTTAGCTCTGCGTCGTCACAGTGCATCAGGTCTGCACTTCCCAGGCCCCCAGCAGCCCGACCTCTCTATCTGTCCTCGAAATTCAGCGATGAAAAATGGCACAGTGGAAAAAAAATCAGTGAAATGATAATATCATTTATTTTTCGTTTCTCGCCCTTGAAGTCCTGTCTTTAATAACAAAAAACTACTGTAATTTGTGATTGTATCTCAAAGACTGTAATTCTGATAGCTGTTGTGAAAGGTAGAGCTGAGCTCTACCTCACAAAGGTTCCTGATGTCACACAAGGAAGTTTTGACCTGCACTTGAGTCTTGTGTCCTCAAACTTTGAAAAAATGGTTCTTTGGAGACAGTCTTTGGTTGTTTGCAACAGCTTACTACATCCCTGTCAAACAGGTTAAAATAACATAACTGCTATCATCAGACCATTAGATCACTCTGTTTTTTCTAACAATACTCAATAGAAGATGCCTAGGGAAAATACAGAAACTTACAACAGTGGTTCCTTTATGTAATTTCTCAGTGTCTGAATGGTGTGATTTTTTTTTTTTTCAAGGAGGTAGTGTGACTGCTGCTGTTTGGCATAAGGACCTCGATTCAGAAAGGCAGGCTTTCCTTTTGAATAGTAGGTACATGTTTTTCAACCATTAATCTCAAGATTGAAGTGTTTTGTACCTGAAAGACATTTTAGTACAAAAAAATGTTTTGTTGAGGTTTCTCACACAAGTAGAACCTGCAAATCTTCAAGCAATGAATTCTAGTAACTTTTGGTGAACTTGTAAACAAGGTTTGGAGCAACAGCCTGCTCAGATCGCTATTTTCTGTGGCAGCTGAAGTATGTGCTATGTCTTTCCCAAGCTTTTCTTTAGGCCAGCTTCCCTCTCCCCAGTGGTTTTCAGCTGTTTCACATCTGACATTATGTATTTCCCCCCCACTATTTGCTCCTCTTAAGCCCTTTTGGTCTATGCTTTATTATTTTACTCCCTTCCTTGACTCCTATCTTGCTTCAACAACAACAGAAAGCTTTTATTTTATTACAAGGCTTTGAAAGAAAATCCACTAAGACACATCACCGTTTCAGAAAGCAGGGCTAGCATGAAAAGCCTCCAGAGAGGGCTGAGCTGGTGATATGCAACTGGGTTTCGCTCTGTTCCTCAGTCACCCTTACTACACGTCTACTGATAAAAGCATTGGGTGTTAATTGTTTGTAAATTTAAAATTTATTAGAGCCTTTTGTAGCTCAACCTTTTCTGTTATCTGCTCTGGTACCATACAGAACTCTGCACTTAATACCTTGCCACTACCTACAGCCCCTTTGAGCTACATGCATTTCCTGAAATCATATTCATTTGCCTGATACCTTCTGTTCAGGGAGCAGCCACCAGACCCGTTCTGTAGAGGTGCTTCCCCTCTGTTTTAAAGCTTTTTTTTTTTCTTTTTCTCCTTTCTTTTCTAAGCATGCTTCAATCGTGAAGTCTTTGGGAGACTGGGAGATTGCTTTTTTTTGGCAAGACAAAAATTCAGGGAGCCTGGGGAGCTACTAATAGTTTATTTACAATTTGATGAATGTAAAACCTGTTTACCCTTGGCTAATGCTTGTGTAATCTGCTACTTCTACTGTTAATTGCTTGTTTCTGCTCTTAAATCAGACAGTCCTTATTTCTTTGTATTCATAGCAGCAATAGCACTGCATGCGTAAGAGAGAAGTTGCACAATAGAACAGAACAAATACAAAATACAGTCCAACTGTAGAAGACGGCGGTTTCTGATAGCAATTAATTTTTTTTTATAAGCTGCCACATTGGCTGAAGTGCCCTTGGGTTGTGTTAGTGGGTTTCCTGGCTCACTCACCTTTGCAGGATGCCCTTTCTCTACTGCTTTTTTGATGGGACCACCCTTAGGCTATTGATCATGATGGTTATAGGAATGGTCTTCCCATATTGCCCGGGATTCGGTTTGCCAAACTCCACAGGAGTGTATATTAACCTGTGAAAGACTCAGAAGCCTTTACTTCGCAAATTAAATAGCCTGAGCATCAAACCTATCCAAATTAATTAACAAGCCACTCCAGTGCCAAGTTCAGAGCTGGCAGCAGCATTGGCCAGAGCCTCCCTCCGTTGGTGACTGACATATTGACCGTGGGGAAGGCTCAGACTGGGCTGCCCTTTTTTTTTTTTTTTTTTTTTTTTTTTTGTGAAATACAACAGCTTTTTTCCACATAGCTCTTTCACACCTCCTGCCCGCCAGACACCTGTGAAGCCTGGCATGCACCAGCCTTGCGATTTTAGCTGTTTCGGGACCAAACGTGGTGGGTGCACAGCTGCATCTCTTCCAGCTCTATGAGTACAAGACATGAAGACCATGGGTTCAGTCGCTCTGAACAGCGTATTCCACATTTGTTTTGACAGCGGGTGTCAAAGCAGGTTCAACCCTGGCTGTTGTGTGAGTGTGGCTCAGTGCAGCACTTGTCCTTTTTTTCCCTTTTGGACAGAAAAATGCAACTTCAGATTCAGCAGAGAAGATACTTAATTTTAACCCAATTCAAATGAATCCTCAACAGTTAGCAAAACGTTATATGATCCAGAATCCTGGGGTCCCTGGAAACATCAATAATTGTCCCAAGCAGCAAGAAACAAACTACTTTCAGTGAGCGTGGCGGCTTTCTCCAGGCAGCCCTTCCCTGTTCCTCATTTGCCTCTTCCACCACGCGTAGGGACATAGTGGTGAGTTCAATATTCTGTGGTAAATATAATAATTTTCTGTGGTAAATTCAATAATTATGTGGTAAACTTAATACTTTTCTGTAGCAAAATTAATAATTCGGTTATAAATTTAGTATTTTCCCCCGGTAAAATTAATAATTCTGCGTCAAACAATGACTTTCTGCCCTTCCGCTCGAGGCGGCGCTG